ATTGCAGCGAGCCAAGATCGAACCACTGAACTCCAGCCTGGGCAACAGTGAGACTCCATCTCAAAAAACACACAACAACAACAAAAAACAAAACAAAACAAAACATAACTTAGACATAGTGAATTGGTAACAGGTGAATTTTAGAACTGAAAGATAACTTAGCTCTCAACTTAGTAAGAAGTCTGTCAGAATAATTTCTGTATTTGGAATCTTGGCCTGGTGTGGTGGCTTACACGTGTAATTCCAGCACTTTGGGAGGCAGAAGCAGGAGGATCACTTGAGCCCAGGAGTTTGAGACCAGCCTGGCCAACAGAGCAGGATCCCGTCTCTGTAAAATAAAATATAAAAGGATATTTGTATTTAGAATATTTCCGATGGCAAGTGATAGGAAAAAACCTAACTCAAAGTGGCATAAGCACCTTGAGAAAAGTGTAGGAATTTGTATGCTTAACCCTCTGTGGTGTGGGGGTTCTGTTTCCAGGACCCCTGAGGATACCAAAATCTGAGGATGCGCAAATCCCTTATATAAAATGTAGTATTTGCATATAATCTATGCACATCCTCCCCTATAATTTAAATCAACTCTACATTAATTATACCTAATACAAGTAAATGGTTGCTATACTGTATTGATTTAAACTCGTATTAATTCTTGTTGTGTTTTTTTATTCTTTTAAAAAAACATTTTGATCTGTAGTGGGTTGCAGGAACCTGAGGATACAGAGGGCTGACTGTATGTTCAAATAACTGGGAATTCAGGATGGGCGCAGTGGCTCACCCCTTAATCCCAGCACTTTGGGGCACTGAAATGAGCGGACAACTTGAGGTCAGGAGTTCGAGACCAGCCTGGCTAACATGGGAGGTAGAGGTTGCAGTGAGCCGAGACCTCACTGCTGCACTCCAGCCTGTGAGGCTCCATCTCAAAATAAATAAATAAATAACTGGGAATTCAGAAAGTGGAGCTGGGTTCAAGGCTTCTTCAAGACTCTCCAGGGTTTCTTATTTTCCACCTTGCAGTTCTCCTTCCCACTGTGTTGGGTCTACCTCAGGCTGCTTCTGCCCTCTTGGAAACAGGCTGGCTGCCCCAGCTTAGGACTGTGCTAATCAGGGGAAGTAGCACACCCTCTCTCTGGTTGGCCTAAGAGCAGTGCTGGACTCAGCAGCTGACTGGTCTGACTGGATTCCTTATCCTCATTCCTAATGGGGGAAGGTTCGAGGGAAAGACTAATAACTTGAATGATTTAATTAATTGGTAATGGTTACCTCCCTACCCCTAAAAAAGAGGGATGTAGGACCCAACCACATTCGAATCAATAATACGTACTACTGTGAGAAGGGTGGTTCCCCAAAGAAAATCATATTCCTATAGGCTGGGCACAGTGGCTCACACCTGTAATCCAAGCACTTTGAAGGCCAAGGTGGGTGGATCACCTGAGGTCGGGAGTTCAAGACCAGCCTGACCAACATGGTGAAACCCTGTCTTTAAAAAAAAAAAGAAAATCATATTCCTACAAGGTATGATTCCCATTCTGAGTCCGTACTAATAACTCATGTAGTTGAGGGTCCAGACAAGAGTGGTGGTTGTATAAGTTTAAAGGAACATTAAAATACTCCACAGGACCAGGTGTGGTGGCTCGCACTTGTAATTCCAGTGCTTTGGGAGGCTCTGGTGGGCAAATCACTTGAAGCCAGGAGTTCGAGACCAGTCTGGCCAACAAGGTGAAATCCCATCTTTACCAAAAATACAAAAATCAGGGGCCAGGCTCCATGGCTCACACGTGTAATTCCAGCACTGTGGGAGACCGAGGTGGGTGGATCATGAAGTCAGGAGTTCCAGACCAGCCTGGCCAATACGGTGAAACCCCATCTCTACTAAAATTATAAAAAATTAGCTAGTTGCAGTGGAGTGTGCCTGTTATCCCAGCTACTCAGGAGGCCGAGGCAGGAGAATCACTTGAACCTGGGAGGCAGAAGTGGCAGTGATCCGAGATTATGGCAGTGAGCTGAGATTGCATCACTGCACTCCAGCCTGGGTGACAGAGTGAGACTGTGTCTCAAAAATAAAAAAATAAAAATCAGCCCAGCGTGGTGGCACACGCCTATCATCCCAGTTACTTGGGAGATTGAGGCAGGAGAATTGCTTGAACCCTAGAGGTAGAGGGTGCAGTGAGCCAAGATCGTGCCACTGCACTCTAATGTGGGTGACAGCGTAAGACCAAAAAAAAAAAAAAAAACCTACAGAAAGTGGATAATTCATTTGTCTGAAGTCGCTAGAAGATAGAAAGCTGTGGATGACCAGGGGAGGTTCCGAATATTTTCATTACTAGAGGTGGAGGGATTAAGAAAGTTTCATTGAGGCCTGGCGTGGTGGCTCACGCCTGTAATCCCAGCACTTTGGGAGGCTGAGGCAGGCGGATCACCTGAGGTCAGGAGTTCGAGACCAGCCAGGCCAACATGGTGAAAAAAAAAAAAAAAAAGAAAGAAAGTTGCATTGAAAGACATACACCTGTAAAATTAGCCCTTTGGGAGGCCAAGGCTGACACATGCTTGACTAGCACTACACACAAAAACAAAAACAGAAAAAGCAGTGAGAATGGGAAAAGAAAAAATTTTTAAAGGCCAGCATTTATTTATTTATGAGACAGGGCCTCATTCGATTGCACTGCAATGCATTGGAGTGCAGTGCCACGATCTTGGCTCATTGCAGCCTCAACTTCTTGGGCTCCAGGCAATTTGCCCACCTCAGCTTTCCAAGTAGCGGCTACAGGTTTGAATCATGACAGCTAATTTTTTTGTATTTTTAGTAGAGACAGGGTCTCCCCATGTTGCCCAGGCTGGTTTCAAACTCTTGGTCTAAAGTGATGAGCCTGCCTAGGCCTCCCAAAGTGCTGCAATTACAGGAGCCACTGCACCCAGGCAGTCAGCATTTTTAAAAGCAGTGATTGAGCCAGAAGATTTACATACATCATTTCTCTTACTTAATTAAATAATTTAACAGCGCAGCGAGGTGGCTCATGCTTGTAATTCTAGCACTTCTACAGACTTGTCTGGAATTTAAGACCAATCTCAGGAGTCGGATTGATCTCAAACAACTTTCCCAAGGTGGTAAAATCGTTTGAGGCCAGGAGTTCAAAACCAACCTGGACAACAAAGTGAGGCTATTGTTATAGTGAACCCCAGTTTCTCTTCAAATAATCAGTATGTCAGTGTGTTCAGCTCTCTTTTTCTTTAAATCTCTATTTTAAAGTTTAACTTCATTTTAATTCCAGTAAACAACTTTCTCCACTGGTTCATCAGTGGTTCACATCTGCTCCTCCTCCCTCTGGTTCCACCCTGACTCATCCCAGTCACATAATCACCCCTGGCTACCTGCTCTGACAAGCCTGTAAACGTCATTCCCACCAAAACACCCACCCTGCCACTCCAGCTTGGCCCCCTGCTCTTTTTAAAATAGCCAATCGGGATTAGTCTAGCTTGTGTGGTCTAACCCTAGCCAATAGGGGATGACACAGCAACAGAGACCCCCCCCACCTCATCAGGCATAAGTACCCCTTTCTCACCTTGTCCAAGTGGGCAGCAGCCATCGTTACTCCATCCGTGCACCCTGTACCCTTCTATAGAAATAAACTGCCTTACTGAGAGTACATATTTTTGAGTGCTATTTCTTTTGTGGCATGGAAATTTTGTTTATAACAGTTTGTCTCTACAAAAAAAATAAATTAACCGGGCATGGTGGGTGGCTAATTTTAACCCATGAGGTCCAGCCCAGGAGGTCCAGGCTGTGGTGAGTGTTTAGTCTACTGCTCTCCTGACTGATTAACAGAGCAAGACCCTATTTCAAAAAAAAAAGAAAGAAAGAAAAGAAAGGCTGGGTGCCATGGCTCACGGCACTCTGGGAGGCTGAGGAAGGTGGATGGCTTTGGACTCAGGAGTTTGAGACCAGTCTGGGCAACATGGTGAAACTCCCTTTCTACAAAAAATATGAAAACTAGGCAGGTGTTTGTGCCTGTGGTCCCAGTTGTTGGAGAGGCTGAGGCAGGAGGATCTCCTGGGCCCAGGAGGCAGAGGTTGCAGTGACATGAGATGGAGCCACTGCACTCCAGCCTGGGAGACAGAGTCAGACCCAGAAATAAATAAATAAATAAATAAATAAAAAACAAATATGTATTGCTTGCCTGCTATGTCGTTTCCAAGCCCTGGGGATGCAGGTATGACCACAAAGTGACAAAACCTTACAGCTGTAACCCTGCAAGGCTGGGGCTATTTTACAGACAGGAAACAGAGAGGTTAAGCATTCTTCTCAGGATGCTTCAGCCAGTCACTAGCAGTGGGGGCTGGGGCCAAATCCAGGACTGCCTGACTTCAGAGCCTTTGATTTGATAGAAATAAATAAAATAAAAAAGTGGAGAAATTTTACATAGAGGGAAATGTAAGTGAGGCAGAAAATAAAATCTAGAAGAGAAATAAGAAAAAGTTTGCTAAGATCCCCTTTCCCGATTTTACAGGTGAGGAAACTAGGCTGAGGATCTAACAAATCTGTATTTTTTTTCCTCCACTACAGACAAACCTTTTAGAACCACAATAAGAGATAAGGCTTCAAAAGAAAAATACCTGGGCAAGTTAAAACATAATAACTGGCATATCTTTCAGCTAAGAAGGAATCAATGAAAATATAGGTTCTTTTTCTCCCTGCCTTTTTTTTGAGAGGGAGTCTTGCTCCCTAGCCCAGGCTGCAGTGCAACGGCATGATCTCAGCTCATTGCAACCTCTGCCTCCCGGCTTCAAGCAATTCTGTTTCTGCCTCTTGAGTAGCTGGGATTACAGGTGCGTGCCATCATGCCCCACTAATTTTTGTATTTTTAGTAGAGATGAGGTTTCACCATGTTGGCCAAACTCCTGACCTGAGGTGATCCTCCCGCCTCAGCCTCCCAGTGCTGGGATTACAGGCCTAAGCCACCGCACCCGGCTTTTCTCTCTCTCTCTCTTTTTTTTTTATAAGAGCAGCTACAAGTAAATTTAACAATACTTTAGACCAGACTGAAAGGGGGTTAGGGTGGGGGTACACTTGGGGGCAAGAGACTAGCTCAACTGTTCAGGAAAGGGAGAGCTTGATGATTTTTTTCCTTTTCTTTCTTTTTTTGAGACAGTCTGGCTCTGTAGCCTAGGCTGGAGTGTAGTGGTAGGATCTCAGCTCACAGCAACCTCTGTCTCCAGGGTATAAGCGATCCTTCTGCTCTCAACCTCCTAAGTAGCTGGGATTACAGGCGCCTGCCACCACGCCTGGCTAATTTTTGTATTTTTAGTAGAGACGGTTTCACCGTGTTGGCCAGGTTGGTTTTGAACTACCGACCCCAAGTGATCCACCACCTCGGCCTCCCCAAGTGTTGGGATTACTGGCGTGAGCCACTGTGCCCGGCCCTTGGTGATTTTTTTCTTTTCAAGACGGGGTTTCACCATGTTTGTCAGGCTGGTCTTGAACTCCCGACCTCAGGTGATCCCTCCGCCTTGGCCTCCAAAGTGCTTGGCATGAGCCACCACGCCTGGCCCCTTAGTGATTTTTCTAACCCAATCAGTCTCTTTCCCCTTAAGAGTTATTCTTGTGGCTGTCTTCGTAGGGGAAATGGCCAGGACAAATACATGCCAGGCAGTGCAAGGGCTGCTAGGAGAAAGGCCCGAGATATCCTTCCTGGTATTCGCTCTGGGGCCCATTATTTACATTCAATCTTCAGAAACTTCCCTTTCCCGGTGTTTGCTAAAGGAGATAGTTTCCAGGTCACCTGACCGGTCTCATTTGCCGTTAGCGCCAAGTCCTGCAAGTTTGCGAGAGAGGCGGGAAACCAGCCAGAGTTGGGCAAACTTTCCAAGCCAGGATTTTCCTTCAGTGTGGAATCTAGGCGGCCACAGTCTGGTGCCAGCTGGATCTCAAACAGTTCCGTGACCTGTTTGTAAACGCGATACTTGGTTCCAGCCTAACGGCTCACAAGGGTGAAGCAATTAATAAATTCAATCCTTAATCTCGTTAGGAGCCAACGGCTCCTACCAGTGTTTGGCTGTGGCGGCGACGGTGCTGTTTAAGAAGTCTCACCCTATTTGGAGGTGAGGAAGAAGGGTCTTGACTTGAGGGTCGACAGACAGACCAGGAAGAACGCTCGAGAGAGCGCCAGGCCTGTTACTACGAGCGCGCGCCGGCGCACGTCTCCTCCCACCTGGAACAACCGCCGGAGCGCGCTCCCAGCAACCGCGGCTGTCGCTGCGTTTGTAGCCACTACGTCACGGCGTCTTCTGCTTCTCATTGGGCGAGCCCGTCCAATCATGTGATTACAGTATGCGTATAAATAAAGGCGAGGGGAAGGCGGTGGTCCGCCATTTCGTGGACGCCGGGTGTGCTTGAGCTTTGGTGTGTGTTGGGCCGGACGAAAGCGGGAAGACGCATCGGAGCGTGTGGATTTGAGCCTCTGCATTTTTTTACCCTAGAGCTCGGTAAGACATCAGCGATAGAGGGAGTGAGGTGGAAGTGGAATTTAATCCTACCAAAGAGGAGCCAGGCCCAATGGCGGCGCCAGATTGAGACAAAGAGGCGCCGCCGCCATTTTGTGACGTTCAGCATGGGGCGGTGGCAGGGGCTCCCGGCCCATCAGAGGGTTTCCTCGTCTTGGGGTGGAGGTGTTTATATTTTTCACTGGGGGATGAGCCGGGATAGGGGATTACCCGGGAGTTGGGAACTAGAAGGGGGAGCAGGCAGCCGAGTTGTATCCCAGGTCGCGGCCTTTTTATGGCGCCTTTTTTTTTGGTTCCTCATTTAATTGGGAAGCTTCTCGGAATGCTTTTCTGAAGTCACCGATCTAGACCGGACCTTTCAATTCAAGTAAATTGAAAGGTCCGGTCTAGATCGGTGACTTCAGAAAAGCAAGCAATAAACCTTTACTTTTGTTGTAGTTTCAGTATTTACAGCCTGAATCTAATTACTTTTTTCTAAGACCGGACGATCTTTCTTGAACTTAGATTGGTTCTTTCGGCAGCTTCCCATTAAAATGTATCCTTAACGGTGCCAGCAGTGTTGTTAAAAATTAATTTTCACCAGTGGCTTGATCAGAACTAACTCCTGGGCACAGGGTGTGGTCACGGCAAATAGGATGTATCTGGACTGAATATTTTAATTAGACAAGCCCAGAGTAAGAAGAACGTGGTGTTTCTGGAAAGCACTTCAGCTGAATTATTGAGTAGATGGTTTTTATGTAATTGAAACTGGTCTACAAGTTTATCGGATTCATCGCCAAAGTGACAACTAAGTAATAAAGATTTATCAAATAGAAGTCTCCCGAGGAAAAACAAAAAATATAAGTCGCCAAAGTGCAGTAAATTTTTGAGTAGCAAATACCTCTTTGTATTTTTTTTAAAGTGAAATTATCTTAAAGCATACATTTTTCCGTTCCCCCCCATAAAGCAGTTACTCCCACTTTGACTGTACCCCTTCCTCTAGTCTTCAGCAACCACTAATCTTCTTGTCTCTGAATTTAGCTATCTTACATATTTAGTATTTATGGAATCGTGTGCTTTTATGCCTGGCTTCTGTAACTTGGCGTAATGTTTTCACGATTTTCCAAAGTTGGCGCATTTGTCAGTACTTCATTCTGAATAATACTCATGTCTATACCACATTTTGCTTATTAGTTTCTGTTAATGACCATTTGTGTTAACACTTTTCGGCTACTGTGAATACTGCCATGAAAAAAATTGGAAAGTTGGTCTCGTTGCTTGAGAACCTTCTACTGCATAAGACTTTGGTCTGTTTAATGTGATAGCAGCAGCCTTGCTCCTATGGTTCCTTTTTCTATACTACAGAAAAGTTTCTGTAGCTTACCAAAATGGGGCACACATACATGTTTATTTTTTTGGAGCGGAATCTCGCTCTGTCACCCACGATGGAGTGCATTGGGACGATCTCGGCTCACTGCAGCCTCCGCCTCCTGGGTTTAAGCGATACTTCTGCCTCAGCCTCTCGAGTGGCTGGGATTACAGGCGCGCGCCACCACGCCTGGCTAGTTTTTGTATTTTTAGTAGAAACTGGGTTTCATCAGATTGGCCAGGCTGGTTTCAAACTCCTGACCTCATGATCCGCCCGCCTCAGCCTCCCAAAGTGCTGGGATTATTGGTGTGAGCCACCGCACCTGCCAATGGGAATTTTTTTTTTAAAGTGAAAATTCTTGGCCTTATTTTTATTTAAGCTGATTAAGTTTTGGGTTATGTAGACACTTGAGTCACTTTTCTGGCAGTATAACCTTAATGTTTTTTCATTATTGTTTTATTTGGTTTTTGAGGCAACAGAATTAGTTTCTTTTTTTCTCTCTTTTTTAAAGACGGGATTTCACCATGTTGGTGATCCGCCCGCCTAGGCCTCCAAAGTGCTTGGATTACAGGCGTGAGCCACCACACCCGGCCCAGAATTAGTTTCTTTTTTCTTTCTTTCTTTTTTTTTTATTTAAAGTTAAGACTTGAAGCACAGAAATAATTTCTTAACAGGTTATTCTATTTTCCTAAAAATGCTATATTTTGGCGATTAAATAACAGGTGGCCCAGAGGTGATAAATGCTCCTTTAGTGTTCTCATGGTTCCAAGGAAGCTGTTTTTTTTATTTACTAATTTGCTGGCTTCCTGAGGGTTACGAGTAAAAATTATGGGGGATTGGGTGCTTTAGTAGTAACATTTCTTGTTTGTCTTCTAGCATTTTGAAATTCAATTTCTCTCTTTACATGTTACCTTTAAAGTCTTTTATTTTTTCTAATGGAATTCCTTCTGAGGATCTGTGAACTAGGTGTTTAGATAATGAATATTTTTGGTATTTTTCGTTACAGACATGCATCGTGATTCCTGTCCCTTGGACTGTAAGGTTTATGTAGGCAATCTTGGAAACAATGGCAACAAGACCGAATTGGAACGGGCTTTTGGCTACTATGGACCACTCCGAAGTGTGTGGGTTGCTAGAAACCCTCCCGGCTTTGCTTTTGTTGAGTTTGAAGATCCCCGAGATGCAGCTGATGCTGTCCGAGAGCTAGATGGAAGGTAATTTAATAATTACATTGATATAAATGTGTAGCTTTCTGGTTTTCCTATTTAAAAATTTATAGGATATGTGGCTCCGAGATGGGTTTTTGAAGTCTTTAGATAAAATCGGGTAAAAGTCCTTTTATCTAAAGACTTAGATAAAAAGTCTTTAGATAAAATCCGTGCCCCCACCTCCTTTCCTCCTATTTGGAAGTATAATGGAAAAAAGGGTCTGAGGGTTGACTGAAGCTGCATGAAAGGTTGGTCAATTCAAGCAGGTTGTAGTAAAGTTTTCTAGGGCCCATCTCTTCCCAGTCACTGTACAAATATGATAGCTTATCTAAATTTAATGGCTGCGTTTGTATGAAGGGTGGGTAATAATGGTCTTTTTCTACTACTCTGAACTATAATTTCGTTTTTTAAAAAAAATTTGTTACTTTTTAATTTTATTTTTAGAGACGGGGTTTCACCATGTTGGTCAGGCTGGTCTGAACTCCGGACCTCAGGTGATCTGTCTGCCTTGGCCTCCAAAGTGCTTGGATTACAGGCGTGAGCCACCACCCCGGCCAAATTTGTTATTTAAAAAATAATACAGTTGGTGGTCTTAACTGTCTTGCCTAAGCTGGTCTCAAGCTCCTGGGCTCAAACCATTCTCCTGCCTCAGCCTCTCCAAGTGCTGGGATTACAGGTGTGAGCCACCTCACCTGGCAACAGCTATAATTTATTCTGTGTTGACTATTGTGATAATTGAGGGGAGAGGGTGCTGTAAAATGGCCAAAATGGTCCTGTCTTGTTTTGAACCCATTTTTTAGTTAAAGCAGGGCAGTGGAAGACCAGTAAATAGAGCATGGTAAATAACGGAATAAGTGTTGGGATCTCAAGGAAGAAATCATAATGAAGATACAGGAGAACTTGTTTTTTCAGGGATAAATGGAAGGATCTTGACACTTAAATTGTACCTGTTAACAAATTAACATTGAGCTCAATCAGACTGGCTCTAACAATTAAGGGATAAAATAGAAGTTGGCTTCTTTGTGAATTGGTACTTTAGAAAATCCTATTTAATTGTTTAATTCAAAATTAAAGTGGGAAACAAGCTAATTTTCCAAGAAGGAATCTTGCTCTGTCCCCCAGGCTGGAGTGCACTGGCACGGTTTCACCTCATTGCAACCAACCTCTGCCTTCAAGCCATTCTCCTGCCTCAGCCTCCTAAGTAGCTGGGATTACAGGCATGTGCACCACACCTGGCTAATTTTTGTGTTTTTGGTAGAGCCAGGGTTTCACCATGTTGGTCAGGTTGGTCTTGAGCTCGTGATCCCCCTGCCTCAACCTCACACAGTGTTGGGATTATAGGTGCCAGCCACCGTAGCTGGCCAAGCTCAATTTATATTAGTAAAAATAAGGGAACTAAAAATTTGGTATTCTGTAGACGCTTGGATGTGTTCTTTGCAGAGTAGCTATAGGAGTGAGTACTTTTGGCTTTAATTAATACACATCTCAGAAAGGCTGTTTTAAGTTTAATGTCTTTTTCCCCTCAGAACACTATGTGGCTGCCGTGTAAGAGTGGAACTGTCGAATGGTGAAAAAAGAAGTAGAAATCGTGGCCCACCTCCGTCTTGGGGCCGTCGTCCTCGAGATGATTATCGTAGGAGGAGTCCTCCACCTCGTCGCAGGTACTTGAGAGAGAGTGTGTTTAGAGGTATTGGTGTAATGGAGTAGCTAGTAGGAGCAAGTATTTCTCTTAAAGTTTGTTGGTGGGTTTTAAACTGAAGAATCTGAGGTTTCTGTGAAACATATTTGTTGGGTTTAGTTTGGGGTATGTGAGTTGTGCTGAGTGTTGGCTTTTGTCTGTAGGTCACTGTTCATGTTGGTAGTCAGTAACTTCTATCTTGGATCTGTCTTCTAGTTCATCTTTCTAGTTGCATCTTTTCAAGTCTTCCCTTATACTTCAGTTTAGGCCTTTTTCCATTTCTTGGCTCCATAATGACAAACATTACATTCAACTCTAGCTCTTCACAAATTTGTGTTTTCTACTACTAGCACAATTGTAATATTTATCAAACAGGCAGCTGTTTTAATGTTGCAACTGGTAAAGTAGAAGTCATTCTGAAACTTAAGTCACTGACCAATAAAGGGGGCTAAAAAAGAAGTAATCCCAGTCATCTGTTCTTCAATCCCAAATAGAAGAAAATTCAGTTTTTTTATAATTTAAAATGGCATCATTCTTGGACCAGGCAGTATTGTCTGGATGCTAACTCCACATCTCCTCAGACCTCCAAAATAGTTTCTGTAGGACTAAATTTACCTCTTACAGGTGAGTGGAGTCCTTCTAGGAGACAGGAGTTCAAAATCTTGCCCCTTTTGCTATTTTGAAAAACAGCACACTGTTGCCCATCATAATAGAGTATTTGTTAGCTAATAGATGGTTGTACTGATGGCTTGTTTTTCATTTTTTTTGTGCTTTTTGGTCCATCTATTAATAAAAATGAACCCCGTTACAGAGTCACCATCATGTCTCTTCTCACCACCCTCTGAATCTGCATTAGCCAGTCAACTAGCCCTTTCAGCGTCATGTGACCAGCGCGCCCCATTCAGCTTGGCTGGTGTCGTTTCACATGACCCAGGCTGGCCAGTCGTCAGGTTGCACCGCCCTTTGGTTCCCGAGCATGCTGTTTTCTCTCAGCCTTCTCTCCAACCTTAACCAAATCGGCAGCAGCCACCTCGACCGCCCACACATTCCTGGCCAATCAGCTCAGCTGTTTATTTACCAAATGTCTTCACAACAACTACAGCAGCAGCCTTCGGCTAACAAAAAAGCAGGAAAAATCCACAACACCCCCTTCGCCAACCAACTAAATCCAACGCAACATCTGGCAAAACCTTTTCAGCAAATTCTTCCTGGCCGTCAGTCCGGCAGCCTCACCTCACCATTTCTAGCTTGTTGAAACCCAAAACTAGTAAGTTTTTCCTGCTTATACAGTTTACTGCTGGTTAAAATAAGGAGTAAGCGGCTTAAAGTAATTCTTTTTTCTGGATCAAAGGCTGGCTGTGCATAATTGAATGGTAACGTACATATATATTGCTTGAAAAACTTTTAAGGGTGATAGGGAACTCGTAATGTAACTAGACCTTCAAGTGAAACTTATTTGCATGTGTGAGATGCCAAACTAAAAATGTTAATGTCTCTAACAGATTAGCTTTCTTTTCTGGCAAAAAATTTGTTGAATCCTATCACCTTTAAATGGTTTTACTAACAGTTTCAAAATTTTAAAATTTGGGGTTGAAGTGTGGGCCAAGCTAAGGTAATTTTGGTAAGCCTAAACACACTCTTAAATGTTGACGATCACAAATGCAGTTCTAATGTAGCACTTAATGGCATCAATATTTACACCTACCGCGTTTTCACAAAATTACACTATCCACCTGGTACCTAAGTCTTGTCATGGACTTACAGGTTTGCATGGGTTCCAAATACTGGTTTATGGTACTGTTTTTGGAACTACTTGGGACTATATTTTGGTGTGGTGTTTGGGTAGTGAAGTTAGTTTGACATGAAGTTTTGCATTGGACAGATCTGCTGTGAAGCATTCTTTGTTAAAGTGAATCCATGGTTGGAATACCTGCTTTTCACTTGAGCTTTTTGTTCCTTAATCTTTCTGTGCCTTTTTTTTTTCTTTTCTTAATTATTATTATTATTTTTTTTGGACGATGGGTGCCAGTTCTTCGGCACATTCACTGGGCCCAACAGTGAAATTGAAAAGTTGGGAAATGCCTCACGCCATGAATACTAATTGATGATGAGTCTAATTTTCCTGTTTCTGCTTTTAGATCTCCAAGAAGGAGAAGCTTTTCTCGCAGCCGGAGCAGGTAAATGACTACCTTTTTTGGCTACATTCTTAGAAATGGCAGCGTTTCTGCTGTTCTGAACTTTTCCAGATGGCTTGGTTAATGGGATTAAACCTTGGCTTTAATTGTGAATCAAGTTGTAAGGATGAGTCAGCTTTGAGTTTTCAAAGAGTTAGAATTTAATTTTCTTTAAAAAGAGGGTGTCTCACCTAGCTGGAGTGCAGTGATGTGATTATAGCTCACTGAAGCCTTTAACTGCTGGCCTTGGAGTCTCCCTCAGATTCCTGAGTAGCTAGGACTGCAGGCACACACCTGCCTAATTTATTTTTTGTGGAGATGGGATCTCACTTTGTTGCCCAATCTGTTACCAAACTTTTGGCTTCAAGTGAGCTTGATGCCTCTGCCTCCCAAAATACTGGAAACATCGGCATGAGCCACCATGCCAGATCAAGAGAATATTTATGTATAATTTTATCATACCTCATTGGGCCTAATTTTTTTTCTCTCGTTTAGGTCCCTTTCTAGAGATAGGAGAAGAGAGAGATCGCTGTCTCGGGAGAGAAATCACAAGCCGTCCCGATCCTTCTCTAGGTCTCGTAGGTAAGATCTTTGATAACTTGAGCTGTTGAAGACTTTGCATACATAGTATACTAAGGCCTGTCTTCTAAGCCATAAATTTTTACCTTAAAAGTCTATTTTGATATGTCACCAAGTTACAAATGTAATGTTTTGTTTTCTGTTTTGGTAGCCGTTCTAGGTCAAATGAAAGGAAATAGAAGACCAGTTTGCAAGAGAAGTGGTGTACAGGAAATTACTTCATTTGACAGGAGTATGTACAGAAAATTCAAGTTTTGTTTGAGACTTCATAAGCTTGGTGCATTTTTAAGATGTTTTAGCTGTTCAAATTTGTTTGTCTTTTGAAACAGTGACACAAAGGTGTGATTCTCTATGGTTTGAAATGGATCATATGAGGCATGTAATACCAAGAATTGTTACTTTACAATGTTCCCTTAAGCAAAATTGAATTTGCTTTGAATTTTAGTTATGCATAGACTGATAATAAACCTCTAAACCCGCCCAGCAGAAGTGTGAATTTTTTTTTTTGAACACAGAAACAACTGGCAAAAATTGAACTAAGATTTACTTTTTTGGGATATAGGATGCAGCTGTAGTTGAACAAGCAGTCTTTAAAAGTTGCTGTGAAACACAAGCCATCGGGTAAAAAATGCTTTAGAGGTTTTTGAAAAAGCCAACTCATGTTTATCCTGGGCAGAGGTTGCCTAGTTGGTATAGAATCTGTTAAGTTTCAAGAAAGTTTATCTTTGCTTTAGGTCATAAGTTCCTTATTTGATTTCTGTATATGAATACATGGCTGTTCATGACATTATGTGCAAATTTGAGATTTCAAAAATGACCTGCCAGTTTAAGGGTACATTGTAGAGCCAAACTTTGAGTTACTGTGCAAGATTTTTTTTCATGCTGTCATTTGTAATATGTTTTGTGAGAATCCTTGGGATTAAAGTTTTGGTTACAAATTGTTGTTTAACTTGAAAGCCTGTTTTTCCTTGCAAACTCAAATCTGTGAGCTTGGTACCAAGTCCAGGTATAACATTCCTATTGGAAGCCATACTTATATTTTCTTGTAAAGTGCTTTTGAATTAATAAAATATTAGCATAATTGTGTAATAGTTTAACCCACTGTTACCAGTGTTCTTATCCTATGGGAAGCAGTTGGTTACACGATTCTTATTTTATAAGAAACACAGCTGAGATGCACTATGGATTAGACTTCGTAAGTGAAGGAAATACAGTTGTCACCTAAGTGATAGTTAACCCATTTTAGGAGTAGAAGCCAGTTCAGGGTCCATGATATTTAGTGACCAACATTTTAAAGTATAGCAGCAACCTGGTACGTTGTAACACAAAGTAAGTTGCCCATTAAAAACGGCTTTTATCTTTAGCATGAAAACTTTCCACAGTTCTAAAAATTGCTTCCATTTTATAATTTGAGGTGTTGCATGGGAATTCTAAGCTGATCCATCATGATGTAAAGTTCACAATATGGTTCAAATGTAACAGTGCAGAATTGAATATGGAGGCATGCATAACCTTCCTCTTAGAAAATGGGAGGAGTTGTAATTTCAAATTTTTGTGCAATTAGATTAAATCATAATGCAACAGTCTTGTGGCTTAATTTCCTTAAATATGCTCTTTCAAGATAGTTTTGGATTATGCTGTATTGACTTTCTTAAATACAAAAGATAAGTCATTGCATTAAGAGATAAAACTGTATGGATATATTAAGATACAAGTCCTAAACAAATTACTAAATTATTTCCACCTTTTACACGAATCTTGAGGGGAGAATTGGTGTCAGGAAGATTCAGCTTTCAAGTTAAGTGTGTTTAAGGAAGACGCTGTCAGACTGCCTGTTGATTCACTGGGAGCTCTGGCATTGGGCATTTTGTTTTTCAGCACTCCCACATAGCCTAAAATCTGTTCCTGTTAGGAACAAGCCAAGTAGCTAAGAAATTATAGAAGCAATGCAATATGTCAGTTACATTGCTCTTACTTTTATTTATTTTTTTTTGAGAGGGACTCGCTCTGTTGCCCAGGCTGGAGTACAGTGGCATGATCTCAGCTCACTGCAACCTCTGTCTCCTGGGTTCAAGTGATTCTCTTGCCTCAGCCTCCTGAGTAGCTGGGATTACAGGTGTGAACCACCACACCTGGCTAATACATTGCTCTTAAAAATGGACAACTTACATGGGTGTTTTTTTGGGCAGTATATGACTATCTTGCAGAGTCTTAAGTTGGATTGGAAGATTTTTTGTAAAATGGACAGTATAGGTATGGGTATTACATGGCTATATAATATGGCAGAAATTAGTATAATACGACGGAAATAATACAGAACCTGGAATAAAATTGACTTCACCAGGGACTTACAGTCCCAATTTGCAGTTATTTTAAACAGAAGCCTTAGCACAACTTCAAGGTTCTTAGAAACTTTAGAACATGGAAAGTGTTAAACCTTTGAATTGCACATTTAGATTGTGGCTATTTGGAAGTTTTAAAATTCCTGTAATTTCTAAAATAACAGGTCACACCAGCCATTCTTGTCCATATTCTGAGTTGAGTTGTAAAACTGAAAGGAATCACAAAACCGAACTCAGCCTTGTGGTTTAAGGATTAAGGTGTTCACTAGAAGTCACTATTATTAATACTTGATGACAATTTAAAGAAACATTAAGGATTATAGTTGGTTATGTTTTAAAGGATATTGGCTGGGTTTAGTGGCTCACGCCTGTAATCCCTACACTTGGGAGCCTAGGGCAGAAGGATCTCTTGGAGCCAGTAGTTTGAGACCAGTCTGCCCAACATAGCAAGATTCACATTTCGATTTTCTTTTAAAGGAATATTTAGCTTGATCTATGGTTCTCAGTTTATTGTGGATTGCTTCTGACCTCCATGTCTTAAGCAGAAAGTTGAAAATAGCCAGAGAAGTTTCAGTTTTACCAAACAGGTATGCCATATCTACCATTTGAGTATCTTAGAAATCCTTACAAATATGTAATCTGTCATTGAAATCCCCACCCTATTGGACTGCAGTCAGTGGTTCTCACTCTAACTGGTATGTGGATGGGAAATCCAGATTATTAGTATTTTATTTTAGTACAGTGCTGCTTAATTAGAAATTTTGTTGGATTGATAAGGTATTTCAGGGCTGGGGTGGTGGCTCACGCCTGTAATCTCAGCACTTTGGGAGGCTGAGGCGGGTGGATCATGAGGTCAAGAGATCAAGACCATCCTGGCCAACATGGTGAAACACTGTTTCTACTAAAAATACAAAAAAAATAGCTGGGTGTGGTGGCATGCACCTCTGGTCCCAGCTACTTGGGAGGCTGAGGCAGAAGAATCGCTTGAACCCAGGAGGCGGAGGTTGCAGTGAGCCGAGATTGCACCATTGCACTCCAACCTGGAGACAGCAAGGCTCCGTCTCAAAAAAAAAAAATTTTTTTCAGAATAGCTAAAGCTGGACTCCTGGCTCATTGGCTTAGTTTTTCAGGATGATCTAACATTGTGTAATTTTGAGTTCTGTGTGATAAATATCATTGATAATGTGAGAACCACTAGTTGAGCATTTTGTCCAAGTATGCTTTTTTCAGAGAAAGATGTAGTTGTCAGATCTAGTTGGTGGTAATCTCTTGTATATTTTTGTATTGCCAGATTGTTGCCTTCTGGTTTTCCATCTTTTCGAGAAAGATTTTTAATTAAAGTTACTGAAGAAAAACTGGGTTGGAAGTATATTTTTCTCTAAATAATCCAGTAGTGTTGAATGATTTTATGTGTCACCACTAATTCTTTTAATCCTGTTTTATTATGGATTCATTGGGTACCTGAAGAGAATTGAGCTGTAGACCCCTTAAAGTTCGGAGAGAGGATCATTGAAATTGGTTTTTCCAGGGCAAAATGCCTCACCTGTAATCCCAGCACTTTGGAAGGTTGAGTTGGGTGGATCACTTCAGGTCAGGAGTTTGAGACCAGCCTGGCCAATATGGTGAAACCCCATCTCTACTAAAATACAAAAATTAGCCAGGTGTGGTGGCATGCGCTTGTGGTAGTCCTGGCTACTGGGGAGGCTGAGGCAGGAAAATTGCTTGAGCCTGGGAGGTGGAGGTTGCAGTGAGCTGAGATCACCCCACTGCACTCTAGCCTGGGTGACATAAAAGTGAGACCCCGGTCTCCACGAAAAATAAAGAATGTGTAAATTTTGAGACCTAGAAGTTTCTTAACGTATTTTTTTTTTTTTTTTTTTTTTTTTTTTTTTTTGAGATGGAGTCTCTGTCACCCAGACTGGAGTGCAGCGGCTCGATCCCTGCTCACTGCAACCTTCGCCTCCTGGGTTCAAGCAATTCTGCCTCAGACTCCCAAGTCTGTAGCTGGGATTACAGGCTTGTTGTGCCATCACACCTGCCTAATTTTGTATTAGAGCCAGGGTTTCACCATGTTGGCCAGGCTGGTCTTGAACTCCTGAACTCAAGTGATCCACCTGCCTTTGCCTTCCAACGTGCTGGGATTACAGGTGTAAGCCACCGACCGGCCTAGAAGTTTAGTTTTTGAAAGAATAACTCCTTTGGGAAACCATTGTAAATCTTAAGCTCAGCCAACCGGTAACTTAAAAACCTCATCCAGCTGGCTCTCTGCCACCGGAATCTTATAAGGACATTTGTTTTTAGTTTAGATAAAACCACCCATGTTACGTTTTCAATGAAAGTACTTTACAAATTGGAATAGCAATTTGTCATTTGTTTGATGTCTTTCCCACATGTCAAAGTCCATGACCCAAGCACCTAGGAATGGGATACGGTGATATATCACGACACCAGCTCAGTATCTAGAAAGAAAAACCTATATAATTTTGTGTTTGACTGCAGTGTAAGTTTAGGCTGTTGACCTTTAACAATTCATTCTTTCACTCCAGTTTTTTTTGTTTGTTGGTTTTGAGACAGCCTCACTCTATCACCCAGACTGGAGTGCAGTGGTGTTATCTTAGCTGACTGCAAGTGATTTTCCTGCCATAATAGCACATATGTGCCACCATGCCTGGCTAATTTTTGTATTTTTAGTAGAGATGGTCTTTCATCCTGTTGGCCAGGCTGGTCTCGCCTCAAGAGGTCTGTCTGCCTTGGCCTCCCAAAGAGCCACCATGTCTGGCCTCATCCCAGTTTTTTAATTTTAAATTTTTTGGTGGGGAGTACATTCTTACTCTGTCACCCAGGCTGGAGTACAGTGGCACTGTCCTATCTCACTCGACCTCTTGGGCTCAAGTGATCCTCCAGCCTCAGCCTCCAATGCAGTTGGGGTGACAGATGCACACCATCACACCCAGCTATTTTTTTTTTTTTTTTATAAGATGGGATTTCACTGTCACCCAGGGTGCGCACAAATACTCCTCCAGCTTTGGCTTCCCAAAGTGCTGGGATTAGCATGAGCCACTGCAACTGGCCATCCCAATTCCAGAGCTCACATTAAAAATGGTAAGGAAAGACTAACGAATCTGAGGTAAGAGGAAGAAATAAATGCCTTAATCATAAAATACAGGTTTAGAGGCAGAAACAATTGAGAATGTAAACTGCACTAGGGTTTAGAGGTAAAACGGTTTATTTTTTAAGCCATGAGTTTGAAGTGGGTCCAGATCTGATGGTTTTAAACTTTGCTTTAGCCATGTATTTGAACAAGCATGTATAAGATAACTTGTCCAGCTTTCATACTGACAGGAAAGCCAAGAAGTTGGGAGTATTAGAGTACAGTGCTGAACTAAATGGCTGGCTCGCTCATTCTGGCTGCTTGGAGTTTAATGAGAAGTTGACTGAGCTGGCAGTCCTGGTTAGATTTCAGTTGGCAATATATAGCAATCCATTTGACATGAAATTGTCCTCAAAGAGTGAGTTTAGAAGAAGTCATGTGCTTTTTAAGTTGGAGTGGATGAACAACACTGTCAAGAGGGCTAGGAACCGAATCATTGTAACTATCTGCCTTTGAGGGTGCTGGACATTTCAGTGAAGACAGTTAGGAGGGGTCAGGAAAGGAAGTAATGACTGATAATTTCTCCCAGAGAAGAGCCATTTTCTTTGTTTTTTAATGATAAAGGATTTTTAAAAAAATTTTTTGGTGGAGCCATTTTCATATG